ATTCAATAAATTAAAATAATGTAAAAAATTTAATTTTTGTTGTTGTAGTTCACTACTGTTAGAAAAAACCTCTTTATTTATTTATTAAATATCTTTTAAAATTTTCACAATGATAACACCTAATTTACTTAATTTTTATCCAATTTACCCTATTCGAAATTCTGGTAAATACCAATATTCGCTGCCATACCGACATAATTTACTATGGCCCACAATCTACCATCATTTTATTTGAACTTGCACACGGCCTTAGTTACTTTCGTCAAAACAGACGTTAAAAATCAATTTAATAACCATTTAATAATAATAAAAATTTATTTAAATAATAATTTCAGTATTTTAAAATCTATTTATATATACATATTTATATTTATCTATTTATACATATATACTTATAAGTTTTTTGATATTAAATAGTCAAATTAAATATTTAACACAAATTAATAATTTGTATAAATCTTTTATAATTTTATGTGTTAAATAAACGACCTAAGCCCGGTAATAATTAAAAAACTTATTGTAAATTCGTCGTAATAACAATTAATTATATATATTTATATATAGCTCTTTATACACATATAGTGTTTATATACAGTACAGTCTTTAGAATTAAAATTCTAAGGACTGTTAATGCTTATTTGTCCTAAACATGTTTTAAATGTATTTTCCTTAAACTAAAGTCAACATTATTTATTCCAGTTTAAATATATGAGAAAATAGCATATTATTCTAAAATTCTATTCCTTTAGCATTTTCGTATTTTATTCTATTAAATGACTTCATTTGAGCATTAATAATATAACATTTACTATCAAGAAAGGCAGAGGCTCTTTTTAAATTTGGCAATGTATTTCAGAGTCATACATACTAAATTATCAATAAGCTTTATTAACTGTCTCCTCCTAGAATTTCTTCCTCAACTACGTGCGTAAACTACGTTTTTCGATACACGTACCAAAGTCGATGTCGAACCATCGGCAACGCAACAACACTTAAGTTTTCTCCACCCAATTCACCACTGAGTAACGATGGCGTCATAGACGTGATGACTGTCAATAAATGGACATGTTCGCCAAAGTTAACCTCCCCCACTGAACCCTAGGTTTAGTGCATATCCATTTTAAGCCAATTTTTCTTTCCTTTTGCCTCATTATCATGTACACCACATAAACAAACTTTCTTCATACTTTCCTCGTATTTTCTTTCCAACACGCGTAAAAAATTTCAAAATATAAACAAAATATAACAAAAGTTTTTATACGTTTAGCTGACTACTAAAGGTTAAGGTCCATAATTTCCTCCATTTAAGACTAAATTCAGTCTGTTCAAGTATTTATGTTAAAAACGCTTCTTTATTCTTTGTTCTAAATTTGGCAGAATATTAGAAAGGAACACTCCCCACCCAACACAAATTCAATTTAAATATTTAATTTTAGATGTGCAGCTTGAGCGGAAATGCCTGTTGCACACATACGAGTATATGTACGGCAGCGAGAGTATTATCGTTACTCATAAATTTATACATAATTTAATTCTTCAAAAACAATTGATTTTTTCCCTCACAATGTCATGTAATTATCCCTTACTTTTGTGTTTCAACCGAAATGCCCCGAAGACACTGGAGCAAATATTATGGCTTGCAAAATGGCGAACTTAAGTGGTATTGAGCTTGGATACAACAAAAAGAATGTATTTATTAATATTTACCCAAAATCTGTACGCATTTTTAAACAAACAAATAAATTCAAATTTTATAAATTTATTCAAAAGCATTTTCGGTAGTCTTTTCTTTTCATTTGTTATTTATACATTCACCTCAGTTCATTTTAGACCAAGGCAAAGCATAACGCCAAACGCCGCTCCAATTCTGCAAACATCAACATACGCGCATCCTATGCTCCATATTACCCCAGGATACGAGTGTTCGCTGGCGATGTGAGTATGTTGCCATATCGAAGCATAAAATTTCAGCAAATTCTGCGAGGCATTATTCGCAAGGAGCTGTATGCAGCGCCCCTTGTAGTTATCCCATAAAGACATAAAGCTAAAATTGTTTGCAACAAGGAACACGAGTACTATAATTTCTTCAAGTAAATAATAAGCAACAATATTATTGTTGCTACACTTACTTTTACACATAAGAATAAAGAATAAAGAGTCCTTCTCCTCCCTCTCGAAATGGCTTACGGCCTTCTATATTTGTGCCAAAAATTGCAAGTGATAGAGCAGTTATAGCTCAGATACGTGCAGACTTCACACAATAAACGCACACATGTGTACATTAAATAATTTTATGTTCATGCACATATCCTTCACGCACACATAGACAGACTCCTAACTCCTACACACCGAAGCGTACTTACTTTTATTCATTTAATTAAATCTGAAGCTGACAATAAAGCGAAAAGAATTGTTTTGTCATTCACAAATTGAGAGGAATAAATACTCCTGCAAATTAAATAAAACATCGAAACTTTTTAAAGCACTTCCTGGAAGCAGGTGTTAATTCAAAATATTTCATCCTTTACTTCTTTAAACTATGCACAAAGTATACGAGGGAATATATATACATATATACTCGTAAAACAAGGCAAAACTGCTTAAAGAAATTTTAGGATTTAATTAAGAAAGAAAACATACGTTAAATGCAATAAATTTAAGAAAATTTTCTTTTTTTTTTATAAAATAATACAGGCTGGAGATCTATAGTTTATGTTGCAGCTATTTGAGCCAGTGCACTTGAGCACTTTTACACTTTCTCAACTCGAGGTGTTTTCAAAACCCCTCTTTACCCCTTGACTGGATTATTGTTTATCACTTCATAAGACTATAATATCTATAGTCATCTATCTATAGTCTGTACATATTTGTAACAGACTGATTAACTCTTATTTAAAATAATCACATCTCAATTAATGCAGCAGTCGAAAATCGTTTATGCGATGACTTTGCGATGACAAAAGCGATATTCGTAAGAGAAACTATCACATATTCAAAATATCGATAGCTGTTGAATTTTAAGGGATTACAATTAAATTATAAACGGACTATAAACTAATTAAGAAATTCGAATATTTCTTAAGACCACTGATGATGAGTACATGGTAGTACTCGAAACAGCGTTGTATGGTCAGCCAAATTTCAATAAAATTAAATAAAT